TCCCTTCCAGAAGGTCCCGAGGAAGAGAATTGCTCCTTTCAGAGAACACTAAAGAGGAGGAGCAACTTTCCCAAATGAGCTTAATTTCTGCACGCAGAGCAAAATCTTTCTGAACTACGAGTCTATGTGGCTGGCTAGAAGTCTTGTTTTATTTTAATCTGGGTTGGCATATCCACTGCCCTCTCCCCTGCAAGCCAGGTCACCCAGAAAATAGGAACAGCAAAGCCCCTCCCCCATGCTGTCCCAGAGCTCTATCAAAGCTGTTGCCTCCAGACTACTACTGGACTGGGTCTGCTTATCTTTTCTGGTCATTCACTCATACCTACCAAAGTGCCCTCTACCCACATACCAAATTACTTGGACATAGAGAAATCTGGATGATGGACAGCTCGCCAAGAATCCACACCTGTCTATTCTGTGATTCTGATAAACAAAACCAAGTTCTCTTTTTGGTTGCCTTCTCCAAGGAGCTGGTTTTGAGGGACTAATTGTGGACCAAGCAAAGCAACAAAACTTTGCCATTTGTGGGTGGGGGGGGAGAGAAGGGAGGGAGGGAAGGAGAGGGAAAGTGAACAAGAGTACAGCAACTGGCTCATTTCGTCACCAAAATATTTTAAATACACATCTATTCTGAGGAAAGTTCAATTAATCTATGTTAATGATCCTTTCCCATGTTTAACATCTTTATGCAAACTCTTGTGCGGGGACAGGCCTCTGTACCTGTACAGTATCTTGAAGTGCTCTAGTCTGCTAGGTTGAAACTTCCTTTTTGGTTATCTTTGGTTTCATTTCAGTGCTGTTTCCCCCCTCTCCCCAATACTGTACTCCCCAATACTAACACCAATTAACATGACACAAATAGAGGGCATTCTGGAAAGCAGGGGCTCCTGAAAACCTTATGTCCTCCTTTCAAAAGGAGCTCTTTTGATCCTGAAGTAACAATTTAAGGCAGGTTGTTGACGTATCGTTGGAATAGGAAAACAAGCCTGATCATAATGACTTGTTTTACTTTAGACTCCAATTGCCAGAACAGTAGAAGCAAAACATAGGAAGATTTTTCACTCAGTTCCTCTCAGATCTGCTACATCTGACATACCTGCTCTGTCCTTTCTCTATCAGGATCAGACTAAATTCTATTTCAAATACTAGCCAGCCTAGCTGAAACCTCAGAGAAGCTTTATTGCTCCCTTTCTGGAGGCAATTTATTTTACTACACTTATGCCATGGTATGTGAAGAATCTACTGACTCAGCATTGTGGGTCAGATGTACACAATGGATCTGAAAGGTTGGTCTTCCCCAATAGCAGCAGAATCACTCAGTGGCTTCTGAAGGAGGAGGCTCACCTTAACTACATTTACGTGCCACCCATCTTACTATCATGTGACTCAGTGCCTGCATTGTCCCTGCTTCCAGTGCCATACTGCCACGAGTAGACAGAAGATGGATGCCTCTCTGTTCCTTCCCATCCACAAGCCATCTTTTTGAATCTGACTCCAGCCCCACAATCTTGGCGCTCATAAACTCATAAACCAATAGCCATATACTGTAGGTTTTTCTTGGTCACATATTTCAAAACCACAAGTTAGATTCAAAAGAAATGTCTTTTGATTCAGTGAAAAATTTCCACCCCTACAGTAACACACTTTGGCTACAGAATATTCATCCATGGCTACCTGAAACATACAGTAGTTTACTCAATTACCCATTTTTCTTGGCTCACACAATACACTGAAATATAAATTAATCACAAAGCCTGGATTAGCTTGTTTGTGATTAGTATGTCATGTGAACATAGTCTAGGTATAGCTAAGTTCCCAACTTCATTGGATCTCTGGGAAAGCAGCAACTGAACCGCATTTTGAAAAACAGATGACTGGTTTTGTCTTCCGGCCAAAAAGATTAGATAGCACTAAGCCCTGCACACAGGCCCCGAGAGCAGATCTTTTTCAACTGCAGTTGGGAGATCTGTCTGTCTCCTGGCTTTCAAAGGCACATTCACCATATTGAAAAGCATACTGCAAAATGCTTTGGAACAGATGCCTCTCCTTGCCAAATCCCAGCAGCCAAAAATGTTTTGCCTGAATTGCAAGAGTTCATACCTAGAGAAGAGAGCGAGCCAGAAGGTTTGGCAAGCATGCATGGGCAGCTGGAACAGCAATGCCGAATTCTCTGGAGACCAGCTAGCTAAACCAGTAGTCTTGGGCACATCTTCAGCTTCAGTAATATAATTGCCAAGATGTTCCTTAGCAATGGATGGCAGAGAAAGAGCTTGACCCCTTATTTTGCCTATTTCTTGCCAAATAGTATTTTTTTCATGACTTCTCTTTTCAACTAGGTCAGAGATGCAATTCAGAGCAACGCAGGATCCTCAGATGAATTTTATATGTGTTCAGGGGCATTCTTCATTGTACAAGAGAGGGAACCCAGTTCAATTTGACATTGCCTCCTCCAGGACTTTGTGGCTGTTGAACTCTGGCCAACAGCTCAGTGATATACCTGTCTCCTAAGCCCAAGTGTTAGAGGTGAAGGGCAGTTTGGGGGAAAGAAGTACTTCCGTAGCTCTTGGGGAATACAGATGGAAGGATGAGCTATTAGCCCCTCTATGCATCTCAGCCTGTCAGGAAAGCTTAGAAAATGCCTTAAAAGTCAATACAGAAGCCCTTCAATTCCAGTAATATGAAGCATATGTTAATTATTTTGTAGGCTAAAAAATGTGTTGTGGATGAAGTGATCCAGACACATGGCACTGACACAAGTGCAGGGTAGAAATCTCTTATTTGTCTTGTCATGGCCTGAACCACTGATCTTGGAATTTCATGCAGAAATGAGCCTTTCTGTTATAATCACTTCCTGGACTGGATTGCAAGAAAGGGCAGAGATACAACTGTATGAGAGTTGGTCTCTGGAGGTAGCTGACAGCAGGAAGAGAAGCTTTAAAATGCAGCGCCTTTTCAGCTGCAAAAAACAGACATGGCAATTAGAGGCTGGTTGAAAGCTGCTGCTCCTACTCCTGAAGCTGGCACATTTGTGCATAGAGGACCTAGTGTGAAATCTAACAAACCATCTCATCCAGCATGACCTCTTGGTTTCTAGACTGGCAGGAGATGGAAATAATGTTTCTTAAACAGGGATTATGCTGTCATGTGCTCCAGGGTTGAGCAGAAGACAGAACAGGATCTACAGGCAGATTTTTTTATTTTGACCAGTAGACCAGTACATTGATAATGGTAATGATTTTGTACTTTCAACAAGGTAAACAGCCTCTAGAATTGACTCCATTCTTGGTGACTATGTAGATTTCTAAATCGTTTTCCTTGCAACTCTACGTAAATGGTTCACTATTGGCATCTACTAGGCTTAGCTAAGTTTTTCTGCTCGTCTACTATACATGATGGAGGCAAGTCACCATAGAGGAACCTAAATATGACTGCTGAATTGGAAAACCTCTCATCTGTTCCAATCAGGTATGGCTTGTGTTGGTAAAATGGTTAAATGAAATGGTTAAAAATTCCCCAATTTCTGATTGTAGGTTTTGCTGTGGCCACAATAATCCCGGCTTTGGATATTTGTCTGTGTGTATTTTTATAGCTACAGGCAACTATTTATAATACAAAGGCTAAGCAGCACTTCATTTACCTAATCTGAACCAACAAAATAGGACAGATGTAGAACGTCCTATATGACTGTACAAATTGGTGTGTTTTTTTTAGAAAAGTGAAGCTCTTGGTCCTAAAACTGGAGTTTCAGATCTTCAAAAACAGTTGAACATTTGTGCATGACTTTCTCTAACCCCTAAAAGGCAATATGGAAATTGTAAGCCTGCTCCCTGGAGAACCAGTACACCCAGCCAGCTTAGTCAGAGTTCACTCCAAGGCTACTCCACATTTCCCTCAGAGCAAGCTTCTGAAAGAAAAAGGGAATCACTATGGATAGAAGGGAATGATAGAAGCTTTCTCAGCCACCAGAGCAGCAGGCTGACTGGCGTTTGATGTTGGAAAGGGCATTGAGTGATAGCAGTACTTGCTTAAAACAGCTTTCTTTCACTAAGCCATCATATAAGGCGACAACCACAAAACCACCTGTTCTGAGAATTCTCTAAAGGTAGCTGCCAGATGCTGGACCTTTCTCCCATCCTTCTCCTGATATCAGGACAAGCATAAGACTCACTAGAATGCTCATGGTGAAAATCCTCATTTTAATGCCCATTGAAAAAATGAAACCGAGGGCACCATCTACTAGGCCACAACTCTATACCACCCTCACTGAAACAAGCCAGCTGCACAGGGGCACGGTGGTGATAACGCTCTAGTGGTGCTCTCATTCATTTTGACAGGACTGACAGAGAGAAACCTCCAGTTGGATTAACCTTGTAGGTCAGACCTACCCATTTACCACTAAACTATCTTTAATGGTGCCCAGGTCAGTTGTCTCCTGGCAGCCCCACCATCTGGCACACCTTGCTTCTCACCGGCACTGTGTGACATGCATTCACAAACAACCCAAGCAACCTGCCATTCACAGACAAAAGCCACCATTCTGAAAAGGCAAGAGAAGCTGCTGCCATACCAGAATCCCCAGCCAGCATTCATCTCTGTTACTTGGTGAAGAAATTCAGCTGGTTGCAAGTCTGCACATGGGGGACTTGAAGATCACAAATGTAACTGCCAGAGCATGATAAGGTGTGAACAATGAAGCCCAGGTAGAGAATGGGGACAATTCACAGGAAGGTGGCTTGCATTTTCAGAAGCCATTATTCAAAAAGCTTTCTCATTGAAACAGAGATGAGGCTCTGTCCAGTTAGCACTGAACACCTACAGAAATAGGACATGCAAATTTAAGGAGATGCCCCTGCCCTGCCCTCCCCCCAGAAAAGCCATTGTGTCTGTTGGAAGAAGACTGCTCCCCTGCAATTGTTGTTAGTCACAGCTTCACAATGGTGGATGTGTCAGTTGGATCATGCCTCTTCTGAAGGATGTGGAGACATCTTTAGTATAGGAGCTCACACCTTGTTACCTGCATCAAGACACAGAGAATCTCGTAGGACACTTGCCCTATAAGAGATATACACACAGAATTTTAAATCTGACTAAAAAATAGTTTAACCAGTGGTCAGTTTAGCCAACTCCCTCTTTTTGTGTCTCTCTCCCACTGTCAAGGTTCTTTTGTAGAGAGCCAAAAATATTAAATGCGGCTTCAAACAAGTTTCTGTTTGCTGCATATACATGCCATGTGCATCTCCTTAAAAAGCTACAGGCATTTCAAATTGTTTCCAGATCATAGTCCCAGTAGGTGATTCCTTGAGGGCTCCAAGACCCACATGAAAGAAAAATTCCTTTTGAATCAGCACTTCACTGGAAACGCAGTGGGATCTCTTAGCCGACTGCAAGAGTAAAGCACAAAGCATTTTAAGCAAGATGGGCATAATTCCACTAAGCGCTAGTAGATCTGTAATACTGAGAGTGTAAAACACATCACAGTGAGGTCTCCAATATTAGGATTTCTCACATGCCCAATCCCTCTCCCATCCTATTCCCTTGGAGGTAGCTACCAAACAGGATTTCTGTCTGATTATAAACATGAAATGCTGAAATAGGCATCTGGTTTCTCTGAATGAATGCTGTCAGGATATGCCTAAACCACACTAGTGCTTTGTTGGCAGCAGAAACTTCTGTGTTCTGTGAAATCCAAAAGATTGCTACAAATGTCACAATTTGAACTACATATCATCTGTACTATGTGGGACAGTTTATCACTAAGATTGTCCCCATTCATTACATAGCTCTGGTGCAGAACGTAAGTTTAATGTGCCAAACATGCTAGGTGTAAACCCTGGGATGTACATACAGGGAAAGGAAAATAATTCGGAATATGTGCTTTGGGCTATTCTGTGAATCAGATTTATGTGGTGCCTTCCTATTGTTGACTAGTGTGTTGGTGGCTGATGATTGGTTGTTTCCTTGTGCTGCCAAGCCCTCAGCTCCTAAGTACCTGAAAAACTGGTGGTAAATAAACATAAGGGCTTGGCAGCACAAGGAAACAACAACCAATCACCAGCCTATAATACACCAATCAACCAATAGGAAGGCACATAAATACTCTGTAGCAGGATATTTGCTCCACCTCACCTATATTAATTATTCTGCTATTATCTTATTCTCTGTCTGTCTATGAAGAGAAAATGGTGGACAATGTTTCTGACTGAGCTGTAAGAATTACAATGGCTTTTGCTTGCTTGGAACAGAATGGCCATACACTTACTTAAACCTCTGGTTGGTCCAGATTTTTTTATTTAACCTGCAAGAAACAAAGAAAAGTTTGGTAAAAATCATTTTCATTTTCATGTTTAAAATGTGAACATTATGTCTCTGAAAGAAGCATGTGTATTAGGTCCTAGTCAATTTTTAAAACAAACTTAAAAATAATTAGTAATCCAAGGACAAATCAGGCAACTAAATTAGTAGTGCACTGTTCAGTAAATTCCACTAATAATAAAGAACTATGAAATGTCTAGTGCAGGGCTTTTCAACCTTTTCACTCATTGTACCACTTTTAGGATATGGCAACATCCGAGTACCACCAGTCGCCTAGCAAGGTGTCAAAAACTTGATGATCAAAAAAAAAAAGGGATAAAGTACAGGTAGTCCTCGACTTACAACAGTTCGCTTAGTGACTGTTCGAAGTTACAATGACACTGAAAAAAGTGCCCCCCAAGCCACAGCCGAGCCAGACACCTGCCTGCCTGCTCAGCGGTGCTCTTCCTCCTGTCCGAGGTTTTCATTGTTGTGAGCATTTCTGTTGAGGATTGGCAGTGGGGGTGGGGTGGAGGGTGTTTGGTTTTTATTCCCCCCGTCTGCTGGGTGGTTGCAGCAGGTTTTGGTCACTTCACATGACCCTGGGACACTGTGACCGTCATAAATATGAATCAGTTGCCAAGATGCTGCAACATTCCAGCTGATCAGCGCTTCTTCTGGGCTCAGCAGAAGTGCCAGGATAAGTGCCGAGCTCCAGCTGGAGCCTGGCACTGATCCTGGCGCTTCCGCTGAGCCCTGACAGCCCGGAAGAAGCACTGATCCTGGCGCTTCCGCTGAGCCCTGATAGCCCTGAAGAAGTGCCGATCAGCTGGAAAGCGGCACTGATCCTGGTGCTTCTGCTGAGCCCTGACAGCCCTGCAGCTCCAGCCATCTCTTGCTCAGGCTTGTGCGGTGCTACCACTGGTTCAGCTCATTCCCCCCCCCGCTACCACTTTTCTAGGTTGGTCGCGTACCACCTGCCAGGTGTCAATGTACCACAGGTGGTACCCGTACCACTGGTTGAAAAGCCCTGGTCTAGTGGAAGAAATACGCCAGTAGGTGAGCAAATATGTGTGCACAAACATATGAAAGTCAATCATATCTGTGACATCCTCAGTGTCACAGATTCTGTGTCTTGAAAGGAGTTTGAACTAACATTGTAAATGCTTCCTTTTGGTCTCCATCCATATTAGGCTTTGCAGACCTATTTTTGTACCTTACATCTATTAAGGCTGATTAAACCAAAATGTAAGACGTTAAAATGGCAAGCCTTCTAGCTGATCATTACAACTAGATGCTAAAAGAGTCACTTGTGCAGCCTCTGCTGCAGCTGGCAAATATACATTCCCACAACAGGACCAACCCATACTGGGACCAAGGTGAACTGTGCCATGTGCACTTAAATTCAGTTTTCTGATTGATCATTGACATGTTTTAAATTTGAAGTGTGTTAGGTTCTTTAGGCACATTCCAAAACTTGCCAAATACTCGTTTAAAGGAGTCACGGCAGCTTTGCTTTTACCTCGGTCCTTCCCATTCTGCATCTTGTCCTCCTCTTCCTCCTCCTCACCTCCTTCCTCTCCCCCTAAGACAGAAAAAAGCCAGTGGCAATGAGAAAAAGTGAGGGGGCAACTAGGAAGCAGGGAGCTGTAATGGCAGGAGACTTAAGAAACTCTGCTACTCTTTCCATGGGTGACTCAAGGTGCAATTCCTTCTTCAAGACGGCATGACCAACAAAGACAGAGAGGGCAGCTTTGGTCTGGATCACAGGCTCTATCTGGAGCCCAGAAGCAAAAACCTTCAACCAGATTGGGATAACCAAACATCCTTTTAACAGAAAACAGAATCCTGAAATTGAAAGAATTGAATGCTACATTCTACAAAGGATACATTACAGTCCCTCTTACCCTTCCTGACCAGAGGTTGCATCAAAATAAATTAAACAAGATTCTAAAGATTGTGTTCATTCAGTAGGAAAAACCCTCTGTATACAGTATATCATGTATGTTGGTTTCAAGTTATACTGTAAAATTCATTTCTTAAAATGTGCACTATGTAGACACTTTCCTAAGTACAGGGCAGAAAGCAGTTGAGTGGTGGGCTGGAGTACAAATAGAATATGGTGGACATAAAGTTGGAAAGAACAAGAAAGAGGAAATATATCACAAGAGAAGAGAAACAAGACTGCTATAAAGAAAAGTAATAAGAGTAATAAGAGGAGTGTACAAGTGCAACTTTATAGGCTTAAATTGTGGACTATATTCCAAAAATGAGTAGGGCTATTTTAGGCTTCAGGATTTTAAAACCTATATACGTTTTAAAGAACTGACTTTAGTAGTAGTAGTAGTAGAGTTGGAAGGGACCTTGGAGGTTTTCTAGTCCAACCCCCTGCTCAGGCAGGAAACTCTATGCCATTTCAGACAAATGGTTGTTCAGTCTCTTAAAAACTTCCAATGTTGGATCATTCACAACTTCTGGAGGTAGGTTGTCCCACTGATTAATTGCTCTAACTGTCAGGAAATTTCTCCTTAGTTACTTTGGAACTTGAACTGACTATAACTTTAAAAAATGCAAAAAAGAGCCCCTATTTTAGCTCTACCTATTCTGGGGGACTCTAGGGGCATCATAAAAAGGGATGCTGGGGCTACCTTTTTTGCACCGCTGCTGTAGGTCCAACATAGGGCATTGAACTCATACTTATCTGACTTTCCAAAGTGAGCATCGAGGAGCATGTTATAGAGATGTATAGACTACTTGCTTTTGAGACCAATCAGATACGTTTGCTTAGGAGCATGGAAGATGACATTTAAAATGACCTATTAAAATAAAAAAGACCTATGGTCTTTGAAGCAACATTGTAACTAATCTGCTTTTTATGTTGTAGAGATAGAAGGGCTGGATTTAAGTCATATCTCCCATTGGCATTCCTGGCTGAGTCTAATAAAATAACTTTTTAGTTCTCATAAGGCAGTGATGGCGAACCTTTTAGAGAGCGAGTGCCCAAACTGCAACCCAAACCCACTTATGCATCGTCGGGTGCCGAGTGGGTGTGGCCCATTGGCTGGGTGTGGCCCATTGGGTGGGCGTGGCCGCAGTGGTAACGGCAGACTGGGTGGGATTAAAAAGTTCAATCAATCAATTCCAACTTTGCAAGATCTTTTTTTTTCCCAAGAAGTTGAAATTGACTGATTGATTGAACCTTTTTTTTTTTTTTTGCACACGGCGGCGGAGGCCTAATGTGAAAAGGTTTTATAAAACCCAGCTGAAGGCCTAGGACTGGGGTGACGGCATGCGTGCCCACAGAGAGGGCTCTGAGTGCCGCCTCTGGCACCCGTGCCATAGATTCGCCACCACTGTCATAAGGGCTTGACCTCTTTTAACGGTCACTCAGGATGCTGTAGGCCAGAACAAAATCAGATTATACAGATGTAAGGTTTTGAAACCAGGCTCAAGAAAGTTAAAGAGAGTTGGGAAGCATGCTGTTGTATCATGACTACTTCAGACATAATCTGCCCAGCTCAGCATAAGCTGCTGGGGAGCTCTAACTCCAACTGTTTCTCTTGATTTACACAAATGAGAAGAGGTTAGATACTTTCCAGGATCTTCTTGTCTGGCTCTCATCAAAGTGGGTGCCTGCAGTTTGTTTCATCTGTCATTTGCCTGAACTGCAAAGAACTCAGTACAATACACAAAACCTGGGTGCTGGTGGTAGAACAAATCCTACTTTTTACAATTGGTATGCATCTTTTCATTTCCCAACTAGAGAAGAACCGTCTGGCCAATTCAATTCAGAACCTCAGGATTCTATACTATTGGAACCCAATGGCTGCAGTTCTGGAGTCCACAGAGACTAAGTGTGCCTGGGATTGGTTCTGCAAAAAAAAATTCAGCAACTTCCTAGCTAAATAAAAAGATCTGAAGAATATCACGAAAATATTATTGTATGATGTCCACATGCCATGTATTTGGAAGTGTGAGGAACAGTTATTGGTCTGCTACAATCCTTGTTTTAGTTACCATACGACAGTGCACAGGAGTGCCCCAGTCTGCTTTCTATCAGAGCATGGAAGACCCTATAAGCTCCTGTAATTGTATCACATTCTACCTGTACCACAAGGCCATGGATATATGACTAGCATGAAATATTAGAGGGCCTGAGGAGACGTTTTGGACTCTTCTGAGATTGGTATCCCAGAAACAATTTAGTCAAAATCAAGCACCCAATTGACACCAAACCTAGTTTCTTCTTCAGGAACCCTCCCTAGTTGTATTCATCACATGTAAGTCACGTGGCCATTTTGGCTAGGAGAATGACAGGATGTGACCACTACTAAATTATTCGGGGGGGGGGGGTTCTGCTATTATTACCCACTGGAATTCTACTATGGAATCTAAGTCTTTTGTACAGAGTTGACAGGACTCTCACTTTATATCTTTCCTGGCCTCCCTATGGAGTTTGCATTCTGATCAGGCTCTAGCATCTGGTTTCTCCAGTGCATTTTGTGACCTTTTTGTGACCTGTTTAGCCTGACTTATTCCTTTGCTTGGCCATGGCTCAAAGAGAACTAGCTCTACATGCATATGTACCCCAGATGATTTTTTGTATGACTCAAGCTACAGTGCTATAGCTACAGAAGGAACTGCCCAGTGGCTAGATCATCCAAGGAATAAATTATTCCATCCGGATTTTCCTCTTTAGAAGTTACTCCAAAAAAAATAAGATAAATACAATTATTTTGCTTTCAACCAGCTGGTAAATGAAAATATCTTGATTTTATAAAGCTCCAGGAATATGCCATGTAACATGGGCTTGTAAAGTATTTTCAAAAAATCATATTCTTCCTAAACTTAGTCAGCTAAATCTAAATATGGTTTGATTTTAAAATTAAATTCAGCATTTCTGATTCTAGTCTGTTTGATATTTAAATATTCTAGTGGAAGCTGATAATTAGCATTTTGTCTACCTAGAAAGTAGATTTATCCATGTGCCAGATTTGTGAACCAAACTTATACGTTTGTTTGGGTAGTTAAAGAGGAACCCAGGAATAGGATTCTAATCTTGTCTAACTTGCAACTGTTAGGCCTATACCAATGTTTTTCAAATGCTGTAAACATGCTGGCTAAGGAATTCTGGGAGCTGAAGTCCACATGTCTTGACGCTGCCAAGTTTGAAAAACACTGGTCTAGATTCTCACTTATTTAGCTGTAGTTTATGAATGATTAGTCATTCAAAAAAAATGGCAGCTGCAAAACTGTCTCTAAAATATATTACACTGAGGCATCCAGTCTTTTCCTCCTTGTGCTGGAGGATACATTTCAATTTGTCAATGAATTATGTCTATGTTGTCCTTTAAAGCTAACCTCTCTTGATATATGCATGTACCTTTTGGGCCTCTGTTCCTCAAACTACGGCTGTCTTCAAGATTTGTTTGACTACCGCTCCAAGCTCCCCAAGTGTGGAGTGGGCCTTGGGCCTTTGGGAATTAAAGACAACACATCTGGAGGAAAATCAAGAAACTAAATATTTAGCAAATTGCATATTATCACCTACAACTATCTAAATTTCTTCAGGAAAAATATATTCCACATTCTCCATCAGCCCACTTAGGCAATTACAATATTTTCACCTCTATCCTTAAAACTGATTAATTCCTCCTGCTGGCCTTCCATTCTACCAAAAATTGTTCTATGTTTTGATACCAAGTGTTGGATTATGGAACATATATACCTTAAACCAAAGCATATAGATACTTTTATTTATCTTATTTATAAAATAAATGTGCTCAGACAAGCGGGAAACAAAATGATACTTACGGTATTAGTACAAAGACAAGATATAAATAAAATAAATACAAATTTTAATTTATTTCCTAAGTTTTCCTACTTTATTATTTGCTTTATTAAATTTATTTTTCCCTAAAGTAGGAAATACTTTATTAAGTAAATAAAATACATTACTTATTTAATCTACTGCTTATTTCAAAAAGAACATCCTAGGCTAATATTTCTCAATCTCAGTGCCTTTTAGATGTGCAGATTTCAGTTCGAGTTGAAGTCCAACATCTTAAAGGTTTGAAATTGAGAAACACTACCCTAGAACAACATATTTCTTTTCAACTTATTTTGTTAAGGAAAATTGTATTAATATTTGCACTAATTTCTCAGCTGAAAGCCTCATTACAGGAAACATCACTGGCACTCAAAGTGTGTCCTTGAATCTTTTGCTTAGATTAATATAGAAATTTCTTGCATACCTGAATGAAGCTCCTTCACCAAATATGACATTGTATTGGTAATGGAATCAGCTGCTACCAGTAAATCATTACGGAGGTTCCGCCGAGTTCCTGAAAAAGGGTGATGAAGTAATATGCAAATATGTTCTAAGAAAATTAGTAGCTGTAACACCACTATAATATTTTAGTTATTGTGGACTTCAATAACTAAAGTGGAAATTATTCTTATTCCCTGATCGAAAGATAAGTTCTCCCTTTGCTAGGATGGCCTGAGTTCCAGCAAATATTGGTGAGAATCTGCGCCTTTCGCAGATGCAAAAACTGATCCTAAGGGTGTTTCCCCACTTATACATTCATTGACCATGTAGATTAGTTAACAAGTGATTTGATTCCTGGCTCATTATCCCAAAGTGACCAAGTGGCAGTTCCTTGGAAGGTGGTGATCATGGCACCAGCAACAATAGCCTCTGTGCCTTCCATAGGTGAACAGTTGGCCTTCCTGGAGGCTAGAGGCAGCTGCGACTTGAGGAGGTGGGGGTAGCTAGTGATGGGAGGAGGGCAGTATTAGAAAAAAGATACGGTAGCAAGAGAACATCAGCCACAGCTGCTTCCACTGCCTGCTGCATAAGAGCTCCTGCCAACTCTCCCAACTGCAGTTGCTGGAGAAGCCATGCAAAGAAGGAATGAGGTAGTCAGCAGCAGAAATGGCTGCCATAGCAGCAGTCCCAGTGGGGACTTTGTGTACATCCCAGGCAATGTCAACGCTTGCTGTTTTCAACAGACTATAGGGATGACTTCCCAGAAGTACTTGGGTAGTCAGGGGCTGGCAGTGCAGTGGATCTGAGCATGTTCCATCACCCACTGAGTGAAATACTTAAAGAGAAAATTAACAATAGTTTGCATGACTCACACAAAATTGGCTAGATAACAACCCTGCATATGTGAAGCACAGAGAAATCAGTGGAATAACAGCAGAGCACATATAGGACACAGTAGGGGCTTTTGGTGGTCTTCTGCAGAAGTGTGTTTTAAAATATTTTCCAAAAATAAATTGTGCACTCTAGAGCTTTTATCTTCTCCCCTCCCTGCTCCTTCCCTCATATTTTTATGTATACATGCACAAAAGGGTATATTATGGCTCACCTTGTGCAAATGCTTCCTGGACGTCTCCACCAACACCAGTAAGTGAATCTTGGGGTACATGAGTTGGGGTAGAACCAGCAGATGTGGACCTGACTGGCATTGGCATAGAGCGGGTTGGGGAAGTATGTGGAGAACCAGCTGCCTGAGCCTAAAATAAATGGAAAGCCCAGTTACTACATTTCTTTCTAGAACAGCTCTTCCAAAATAAAACTCCAGCTGCTTACGTTGCAAAGATGAGTGACAAACCCTCAGACAAACATTCTCTGTCTCATACAGCATGCAAACTCGAATATCGGCGCATGCAGTTTGTACCCATTAAGGCATGCTTTCCAATCTGGTGTCCTATCAACTCCAGACAACATGGTCCATCTGGAAGGCGTAGATTGGAGAAGGCTGCATTAAGACAATCCCAAATTTCCTGGGAGTGAAAGCAACTGTCTCGTGTCTATTTGGGCAATCTGATCTACTTCAGCTTTCCCCTGAATGGGAGTCTTCCAAATATGGGGAATGGTAGCTTCCAGGCTTCTCAGAAATGGCCATGCTGGCTGATGTGAAGTCTACCAAGTTTTGAAAGGTTTATTTCATCTAGCAGCCACAGCTCACCAAGGCACCAGGAAAAAAAGAAATAGTTCTACTTCCTAAAAGCTGTTTCACTCTGGCTAGGAAGTGAATCCTTTTGCCTGCAAGTAAATATGCTATCACTAAGGAAAGGATCTTTCCTAATTATAACTAAACCTCATGCTGTGTTAGATGATTGGTCAATATATACTTATTCTCCACTCTAAGGCAATGATCATCCAGCATACTAAAGCCAAATTTACTAAACACAATTGCAATCACATCAAATGCTATGCCACAATAAATAAACCATAGTATGGCTTAATGGGTGGCCTGGTTCACACTATATGCAGAAACAGCTGTGTTTCTACAATATACTAAACTGCAAACAATACAACCCCATTTAGCCAAGGCTTGCATGTTGTGTGAACCCAGCTGGTAAAAGATGCTTATCTGAAAAACCAGAGACAGCAGTACTAGACCACACCTGACCTAGCCAAATACTAAGATTGAAATGCTCAGAATCATGGATCACATCAATCTCTGCCTCACTACTTATATTTAGTTTGATGGAAAAATATATCAGCACATCAGAGAAGCACCCATGGGATCATCACTCTCAGGACTCTTAGCAGAGAATGTAATGCAGGATCTAGAAACTATAGTATTCCACATATACAACAAAAGTATGGATGTAGATAACACTTTCATCATAATACAAAGGGAGTAACTAGAAAGAAGACACATAAAACAACAACTTCAGTGGAATAAAATTCAAAAAAGAAGTAGAAAACAACATTATCTTTCCTCAATATCCTCATCAACAGAGGATACAATGGCAATTAGAAATGCAAGTGTTTGAAAAACAACCCACATTAACTAAGGGCTTCATTATCAAAGTAACAACCCAACTTCCCACAAAAGGAGCTACATAAATACATTATTCAGATGAGTATAAATGCACTACAACATGGGTGTCAAACACATCGCGTCACATGACATGTTACGATGTATCGTGACTTTTTTTGCATTGCGGGAGCTGGGGTGGGTGTGGCCTTCATATGATGCAACCGGCTCATGGGCCAGCAGTTTGACACCCTGCACTACAACAACCCAGAACACTAGAAAAAGGAAATAGACTGCCTATATCACATGTTCCAACAAACTGAATACTTACACACCTTTATCAAGAAGTGCTTGACTACTCAACCCATTACAACTAACACAAACTATGAAAAGAATAATACTGCTTTACATCAAAAACAACTCAGAAACAACCAACAGACAATTATAATGCCACGACATCACCATAGCACACAAACCAACTGAAGCTTTCCGAAACACCCAAAAGTCCTAGTAGCCAAGAAGGAAAACAAGAGTCACTTATAACATACAGTATAAGGACTGTAATAGCTATTATGCAGGACAGACATAGAGAAAACTAGCAGAGTGCATCCAACTAATAGTCAGAAGACACAATGAAAACAATCTCACAATACATGATCAGACTCAATCATAGTTGCAACTGGGAAATTGTGAACATCCTAGACCAAGCTAAATCCCAAATGTTAGGGAATTTCTGGAAACGTGGCATTCAGACAAATCAGCCATCAACAGACACATAGAGACAAACCACATTTACAAACCTTTCAAAAGAGAGAATAAAAAAGCTAAGAAAGAAAAGGAAAGATTGGAACATATCTTTCCAGCAACAAACAGTGAGATAAGCAGGGATGAGCAGAAAAATGAGCAATCAGAAAACAATATCCTAACTAAGGAACTACCAAGGAGAAAACCACATCCCTACCAACACTGGCAGGACAAGCTACTATATACAAACAGAGAGCAAATCCCATGACCAATAGCACTGATTATGCATCTGCAAGCAAACAAACAAGCTCAGAAAGCACCAAGGACACGACAATGGGAAAGAATGACAGAAAGCTGACTATATATTACAATCAATCTACTCAGATTACTAGCATTACAGATTATGGTCCCACACTGACTTTTATCTGGACTAGTGAATAAAGATGGAAAACTGGAAACTAGCACTTCTGGGATTAAGTGAATTTTATATATTCCAAAAGCACCCTGAAATGAGTTTTCTGTGTGTAACTAAAGCTATCTAGAATGCTTTAGCTGTTTTATTGTAACATTTTGTACTTAATAATTTTATTTCAAATTATGAACATATCAAATATTTCTCGTTGTTATAAGGTAACATTTGTATATACAGTAAATTACTACAGTTGTATAAACTGAATTCTACTTTGACATATTATCTAAATATCAAGTGATGAAGAATAAATTTGAGTTCCCCAGCTAAAGTTCGTACTTTGTCCCAAAAGCATAAACATTCAGCGTACGCACAACTGGCATTAAATGATGCATAAACAGAGCTGGTAATGTGTTCTCAAGGGGGCTGTATGTGTTGTATTCACTGTCCACATATGAATGGATTCTGGAGAATTAGCTCTTCAGTTATGTTGGTGTAATAGTGAAAAACCACAGGGGAGAAAGTTTGGAGATTAATTGAATCATCGGCCTGGCTGGCGGATGTAAGAGACTGTTGAGACCTGATTTGCATAACAGATTCTATGTTGCTCTATGAATATATACTTTTTTGGTCAGAAATAATTTGAATAACATAGCACTGATGCCATGATTGGACAGAAACCACGGTTGTACTCACCATGGAAATTAAATTGGTGATATTCGTACTTTTTATCCAGATGGGGAAAAGATCAAGCTATGCAATGAATGCACACTGGGACATTATAGCTGACCAAAGGGATATGAAGGAATACAGAACAAAACACTTCAACTCTTGGGAGGCTGCCATCTCCAAGTCCCAACTAGAAGCAAACACTGACCTTTCTTATTGCTTTGTCCAGCTAGATAATAATTTTAGGAGTGAGCCCCTTTTTATGCAAAACCCAGCTTTTGCTAGGCTTGAATTGAAAGTTAATCACATTTCTTTTACTTATAAAGTTTTTTTAACCTTTCCTTTTCAACTCTGTTCTTTTATTAATTGATCTGTAAAGTAAGCTTTGCAAGTCTTGTCTTTCATGTGTACACAAATAGTGAGACACGCTCATGGCTGTTTTGGACTGAACATTTGTGACTAATACTGTAATTACCCATTAACATGCATAACCTTTGCACATCCTCCCATATTCAGTTTGTGTCATTTCATCTGGTTTTTATTCTCTGTTTTCTTTACCAGAAGCAGCCCCAACCTTTGAATCACATTTGCTACTATGGAAACCTTACTGTCACAGAGTCTGGAAAAGAATCTGATGCTCTTGGAGGTGAGACGAAGTCAGTTTTCACAAAGCTAAATTTGAAGAGTGCTCTGGAGGTTGACCCCTGATGCAAGTCTTCACTAGAGTAAACTCAGGTAGGCTCTACACAAGTTCTCCACTGAAACTGCAGTTGCTGGACTTCTTTGCCACTGTTTCCGTCAGAGCAAAGGCAGATGGCAGAGTCACATAATGGTGGATGTTGCTATTTTTCTAAACTTTAAGCTGACCTTCAAATAAGATGTATATAACAGCTAATAACGGAATTCAATCCCTTCATGGGCTTTTTGGATCTTTTTTGTACAAACATTCTAAAAGTTCAAACCAGAAGATAAAAACTAACAAAAACTAATAAAGGAAAGAAAGGAAAAAAAGAGGAAGAAAGGAAAGAGCTAAGATGCAAAAAGAAACAATAAAAAGAAATAGAAAGAAGCTTCCAATTTCTTCTGCAGCAAATCATAGAAATACGATGGCATAATTATCTCTTAACTTATTGTTACAAGAAAGCTCTTTTTTATTACCTAATATTTTCTAATCATCAAAACCAAAAATAAAAGTTATTTGTTTCTATTTCATGCAAAATTCCTTAAGCAATAACAGAGCCAGTTTGGCCTGGTGACTAAGGCACCAAACTAGAAAACTAGGAATTCTACTTGTGACTTAGGCACAAAAGCCGGCTGAGGGACTTTGGGCCAGTCACGGTCTCTCTCAGCCTAATTTGCCTCCCAGGGTTATTCTGAAAAAATAGGAGGTGGAAGGACTTAGCTATGTTTGCCGCCTTGAGTTTTTATAAACATAATAAAAGTGGAATTTAAAAAAGCTTTAAAAATGTAGATGTTGTCTTTCTCTGATCAAAGAAGTTTCAATTTAGTCATCTCTGCAAATCCCATTATCTTTACCAACCATTCCTTCATTGAGGATAGTGCTGAACCTTTCCACTTTGAGCATATCATGATCTTGCTACAGTTATTGTGTGCAAAAACAAAGTTCCATAACTTTTTTTTTCCAGCTCTTTACCCATTAGTTTCAAAAGAAAAGTCTCTGGCTTCAATTATACATTGGTCTTTAAAAACTTCTGAATTAATGCATATATTTGAGTTCAAATTTTGGGGGCTTTTTTCCACATCCATCAAACATGATAAAGTTTTCCTCCATATTTCCAGCACAAATTCAAAGCAACTTTATACACTCTAAATTTCTCCAATTTCATATACATATAATATGCAATACAGGTGGTCCTCGACTGTTATTCTGTTGCTAAGCAAGACATTTGTTAAGTGAATTT